CCTGGTTCCTTGAGGCTTCCTCACCCCCCACTATCATGACCCCAGTCCTGCCCTTCATGGCGGGCTATACCGGAGCATGTGCACAGGTACAGATAAGAGATAGGAGCTCATGACCCACGGAATCCAGGAACAGGAATGGGAGTAGGGATACCAGGAGGATAGGGGGAAGGTGGGGAGAGGTGGGGAGGAAGAGGGAACCGATCACAATGGTCGACACATAACCCCTACCCCCACTCCCAGGGGCACGAACAACATAAACCAGGGGGGAAGGGAGACAGCGGTCAGCGTAAGATATGAAAATAATAATAGTTTATAATTTATCAAGGGGTCACAAAGGTTGGGGGGAAGGGAGGGATAAAAGAGGAGCTGACACTAAGGGCTCAATAGAAAGTAAATGTTGAGAAAATAATGATGGTAACATATGTACAAATATGCTTGATATCATTGATGTATAGGCTGTTATAAGAGCTGTAAGAGCCCCCAATAAAATGATTTTTAATTAGAAGAATAATAAAAATTACAGCCACAGCAGAAGCAGTGGCTTCTGTACTTGTTCTGTACTTTCCTCTTTGAGTCAGAATTGGATTCACGGCCGTGGATATGATGGCATTGTGAGGCATTCATCTGCTAACCACAGGGTTGGTGGTTCAAGCCCTCCAGCCACTCCATGGGAGAAAGATGAGGCGGCCTGCTCCCACAAAGATTTACACTCTCAGAAACCTTCGATACCATCACTGAGTTGGTCTAATTTGATTTGGGTTGGTTAGGGTAGGGGATATCTTAGGAGAAATCCCTCTCAAAGCCTGGTTTCCCCTTGCTAGTTGAACTTGTAACATCCTGGTGTGGACTCAGGAAAGCATCACATTCTTCAGGACCTGCCCACTGATGGGACTGAAATAACAAATGATATGATGTACATATTAAATCCCAACCAATAAAAAAATGAATGCATTAATAATTCTCCATCGAGGATATATATTGATAACCAGACAGATGCTTATAAATACAGGAAGTTCCATCTGAAAGTAGCTTTTTCCACACCAATACAGAATTTGCTACGTTCTTTTCCCCTTAGGTTTGAAACACCAAGATGGTGCCCCATGGGGATTCCAACATTGTTATTTTCTAATTCACTCCCTCCTCAGACGGGGCTTTCTACTTTCATCAAGAGTTACAGTCTTGGAAACGCACAGGGGCAGTTCTACCCTGTCCTGTAGGGTGAGGCAGCCTCAACTGGATGGCAGTGAGATTGGTTAGTTTTGGGGATCTACTCACCCAGCTTTAAAGGCCAGTGTGATGCTCTGG